CAAAAGAGACCCAAAGGGCCAATAAGCATATGAAAAGGTGCTCAATCATATTGGTCATCACAGAAACTCAATTAAAACCATTAAGAAATACACACCACAATGGCTACAATGAACAAGACTGACAATTCTAAATGCAAAGAATAGGGAGCAAATGGAGCTCTCTGCAAAGCTGGTGGGAGAGTATGTTGGTACCACCACTTTGAAAAACTATTTGTCAATATCACTAATGCTGAACACAGGTATATTTTCGTTGGTTGCCATGGAGTTGATTTCGACTCTGGCAACAACATATTGGAGAGTAGAACTGCTCTTCAGGTTTTCAAGACAGTGACCTTTTGGAAGCAGACACCCAGGTCTGTCTTTGGAGGCACCTCTAGATGAGTTCGAACTGCCCATCTTTTGGCTCGCAGTCGAGTAGTTAACTGTGCATCGTCCAGGGATTTCCTGAACACATGCATATTCATGAGCAATTGACTCTTTTGTATATAGCCTTCAGAAATGCATCATATACAAACCAAGAGACATGTTCAAGAATCTTCATTGCAGGATTATTGGTATAACCAAACAGTAGAAACAACAGTAGAGTCAACAGTAGAATGGAGAAAATTTTCTGAGGTATATTCATACAGTGGAGTACAACACAGCAATGAGAACAAATGATTTGTAACTACACACAAAATTATGAACTTCATCAACAATATTAAGCAAAAGAAGATAGATACAAAAGAGTACACAATCTATTTTTATAAGGTTCAAAAATAGGCAAAACTAATCTATGATAGATGTCAGGATAGGAGTTACCTGAGTGGGTGGAAGCGTCTGGAAGTGTGCCTAAGGGGGTTCTGGGATGCTGCTAATATTCTGTTTCTTGATGTGGTTGGAGGTTATGTAAGTATGTGCACTTAGTAAAAATTCACTGATCTGTACACATATGATTTGATGGGGAAAACATTTAGTTCTTCTCCCCATCCCAGGGAAAATCAGTTTCTCCTCTTCCTTTCCCACTCCTCCTCCCCTCCTTAGATATGAGGCGCTGCTCACTGGATTCACTAGATTCCAGCCCAGCAATTGGACAACCTTTTCTAATAAATGGAATAACTGTGTGTTAAAGGTTATGAACTTACACGTGACTCAGTAAATAGAGTAAGCAGGTGGCCTGGCAATCTGGCAGCCATTCTGGTATGTGCTTTTCTTCTAAACTGAATGCTCACACTCAGGCACTTTGGAATTCTTATCAAATAAGGCTCAGTGGCTTGCTGGTGGTGACATCTGGGCATGGAAGTGGGGAGAGATCTGTCCTGGGCTAAGAGCTCAACACAGTTTTCCAAAAAGCCTGTTCTGTGATGTCCAGCTAAACAAAATGGTATTGTACTATTATTTTTAATTTGTTGATATTTTTCCTTTATGTAGCTTTCTTGTTGTATGCTATCAAGTTGATTCTGAGTCATAGTGATCCTACAGAACAGAGCAGAACTGCTTCATAGGGTCTCAAGACTATCATCCTTATGGAGTAGATTGCCACATCTTCCTCCCATGGAGCCACTGATGGACTAGAACTGCTGACTGTTTGGTTAGTAGCCCAGCTCTTAACCACTATACTACCAGGTCTTCCTATAGGAATAAAGGAAAAAAAAAGGAATGGTGGTTGATAGGGCAAGGAGAGATGAAAACGGGCAAGGCAGAATTTGGGTAATCTAAAAACCAAAAATCAAACTCACTGCCGTTGAGTCAGGTCCAACTCACAGTGACCCCTCCTTGGGTTTCCTATGGAAGTAGATTGCCCAACACCTTCCTTCCGAGGAGTGGGTGGTGGGTTTGAACTGCCAGCCTTCTGGTTAGCAGTCCAATGCCTTAGGCACTACACCACCAGAGCTCCCTTGGGTAATGTAAGCACCTCTAAATGCAGAACAAGCTACATAATTACTCCCAAAATGAATAACAGAGAGCCAGTTTTCTATTATCTGGAATAGTTTAAAAATCTAATTTTGATATATAAATACATACATAATACAGTGAAGTCTCTGAGAACCAAAACTCAACAGGACTGCCTTGTTTTTCCAGGTCTTGCAAGTTTTTTGCCTTTGACAAGGTGGCGTCTTACCACTTTCCTATTTCTATTAGTGGAAAATATTTGAATTTTCCTTCTCTGATAGGTGTCCACCTCACACAGGTTCTGAGTTTCACAAATTTTACTGTATAATCTAGTATATATATATTAATACAGAAATAGATTGCCCAGTCTACCTTCCGAGAAGTGTCTGGTGGGTTTGAACAGCCAGCCTTCAAGCAGTCAAATGCCTTAGGCACTATGCCACCAGAGCTCCCAATATATAGATAGATATCTATAATGTAGTTTTGATATATAAAATTAAACTACAGAGGTAAAATCAGAATTTTCTTAATCAAAGAAAACAGAATATATGTTTGGTTTATTATCAGTGTTAGATAATATTTTTAGATTTAAAAAATAATAATCCATAAAGCTGGTGTCTATCAAATAGAATATTTGAACCAGAGTATCCTAGTCATTCAGTTTATTCTATTTCTAATGTCTCCAAAGTAATTAGGAGAGGAAATTAAACATGACCAACTATTATGTTTGGGAGTCTAGCCAACAGACAATCATTTTCTATCATCAAAGTACTTGAATATATTTATTGCAAAGACTACATATAAAATAGCAACACTAGTTTTATTTTAATGAGATATGAGTGCCAAGATTTAGTAATCAAAGAATCAGAATTTGTCAGCCAATTCTTGTCTCTAATAAAAGTGGATGATGCTACTGAATGGTAACAGCGCTTGATTATCCAAAGTAGTATGAAGTAAACAATATTAAAAATGACATCTTTACAGAATTTAACAGTTCAATTATTTGAAATAAAATAATTTTCCTCTCAAATGCTATTTTCTAGCCTGAGAAAAGATAAACAATTCAAAGTAGTCAGAACCAGAAGTTTTCAATCTATCCATTAATTTTGGTGTTGCTCGGGAAAAATGTTTTCTTGGGAAATGAGTTTGGGAGATGCTGAGCTAAAATAGCTTACTTATGAGTTCTCATAGTCCTTAAGATGCTAAGATAGCAACTGCCTATCTTATGGAAGGTATATGGCATGGCCTTTTCCAAACCTCTTTGGACAGGATCCTCTTTTTCACAGCATCTGATAAGTGCTACATGTAACACATTTCAATAATGCTGCTCCAACTAAAGCTGTTCTTTTCTTTCAGAAAGAACAAGCTGCAGAAAACATCTATTTAGCAAAACTCTCATCTCGTAAGATTCATTATTACATATAGTCACGCGACAACATCAGATAGATGGCCCCTTATATCATGAAGCCTTGTAAAAGAATGCTAATCCTGCTCACCCTTTTAACATGGCTCTTAAAATGGTGTTCACAGAATATATGTGTGTGTGCATACAAAATAAATGCACACCTGTAGAAAAAATGTCTGTAGGAAAAATGGATATGCCTGATGTTTTTAACTGTTGTTAAATAAATTAACATATTACATATTACAATAGGGAGCTGTGGTGGTGTAGTGCCTAAGGCATTTGACAGCTAACCAGAAGCCTGGCAGTTCAAACACACCAGATACTCCTCAGAACAAAGACTAGGCAATCTACTTCTGTAGAGATACCACCTTGGAAACCCAAGGAGGAGTCGTTATGAGTCAGAATCAACTCAATGGCTGTGATTTTGGTTTTTGAGTATATTACAATGGTAAGAATTTTCTCCTGACTTATATATAAAAAACATAGTCATAGACTATAAAATTAACAACGAACTCTAGCAAAAAACAGTTATATGGGACCACATTCCATGTTTGCAAGAAATACTGTTGCCTAACAATTCTGAAGCCAGGCAAAAATACATATACTATATTAATAAAAACAATGTCATTAGATGAATATTAACTTAACCCAATTTTTAGCAATACTTCTTTGAAAAGCGTTATTGTTGCTAGCTGCTGTCAAGTCAGCCCCTGAATCCTAGTTACCCTTACACAATAGAATGGACCACTATGATCCATCTCGATGGTGGATTTCAGAGGTAGATCACCAGGCTTTTCTTTGTACTCCATCTTGGTCTGGAAGCTCCTCTGACACCTGTTTAGCATCAGAACAACACATGAGCTTCCCCTGAATAAAGAGCATGGCTGCACCTGAGGTGCACTGGCTGAGAAGGGAACCTGCACACCTGCAAGGAAGGCATGAATTCTTCCACCCTGAAAAGTAGACAGAGCAGGATAAACTGTACCAACTAAGATATTACTAACCTCCTACTGGCAGACACAGGTGCTTTTTCCTGGGCTCCAACTTTTCTTCGTACATAATTATAGCAAATACCATATTGAATTTTACCTGTCATTTTTCCACTAGAGCTTCACCAAGGGCAAGGTTTAGATATCTTTTATATACACATTAAGAAATCTATGCAGATGAAATACCCAATACTAAAAGAAAAGGTTACGGAAGGTGGTAGCGAGGGAAGGAGCAGAGGGTAGCATACTTTGGAGTCAGACTGCTTAGGTTTCCATCCTGGCTCTACTGCTTACCATGTGACCTCAGGCAAGTTACTTCTTATCTCTGCTTCCTCAACTTTAAAATGGTGGTAATACTCCTACTTCACACCATACAAAAAAATAAAAATAAAAACCATAATGCATTATTACTATACATTACCAGAATGAACAAAACAAAGAGGGATTACACTAAGAGTTAGTTATTAGAGCAAGCAGAACTCTCCTACATTGTTGGTGGAAGTGTAGATTGGTACTACTACTTACGAAAAAAATACTCTTGACAGTACTTACTGTCAACCTAAACATACGCAAACCCTAAATGCAGAAATTGCATTCTCAGGCGTATACTCAACGGAAGGGTATATATAGTGTTCATCAAGACACATCCTAGACTGTTCACAGCATTCATTGTTGTTGTTAGGTGATACCAAGCTGGCTCCAACTCATAGCAACCCTGTGTATAAGCGAATGTTGCTTAAACTCTGCCTGCTCCTGTGCCATCTTCCCAGTTATTCCTGTGTCTGAGCCTATAGTTGCAGCCACTGTCAATCCATCTCATTGACAGTCTCACTCTTTTTCACCTACCCTCTACTTTACCAAGCATGATGTCTTTCTCCAGCAATTGGTCTCTCCTGATAACATGTCATTCTGGTTATATTTCTCCTACGAAAGATTTGTTCATTCTTCTGACAGTCCATGCTATACTTAAAATTCTTTGCAACACCATAATTCAAATACCCCTCAATAGTTCTTTAATCTTCCTTTTTCACTGTTCAGCTTTCACACACATATGAGGCAATTGAAAAATCAGGGCTTGGGTAAGCTCTGGTGTCACAGTGCCTAAGGCATCTGACTGCTAACCAGAAGGCTGGGGATTCAAACCCACCAGCCACTCCCCAGAAGGAAGACTGGGAAATCTATTTCCGTAGAGATATTGCCTCAGAAATCCAAGGAAGGATAGCTGTGAGTTAGAAATGACTCAACAGCAGTGAGTTTGTTTTTTTTTTTCTTTCAGGTAAGGTGAACCTTAGTTATCCAAGTGACATTTCTGTTTTTTAAATTATTAATGAGGCAAGAAGAATGAAATCCTTGATAAATTCAATTTCTTCACCATTTATGATTATGCTGTTTACTAGTCCTGTTTGTAAGGATTTTCATTTTGTATGTTCAGGTATAACCCATACTGAAGGCTGTAGTCTTTGTTTCATCAGTAAATGCCTCAAGTCATCTTTGGATTTGGCAAACAAGGTTGCCATCTGCATACATCAGGTTGTTAATGAGTCTTCCTCCCATCCTGATGCTTCATTCTTCTTCAGCTTCTTGGATTATTGTTCCGCAAATAGATTGAATAAGTAACATGAAAGAACACAACCCTGCTGCACACTTTTCCAATTTTAAACCATGCACTATCTCCTGTTCTGTTTGAACAACTGCCTCTTGACACATATACAGTTCCACATGAGCACAATTAAGTGTTCTAGAATTCCCATTCTTTGCAATGCTATCCAGATTTGGTGTAATCCACATGGTTGACTGTCTTCATGTAATTAATACAACACAGGTAAACATCTAACAGCGTTATTTGTAATAGCCTCAAATTTGAAATTTTCCCAAATGCAATCAACAGTAGAATGGATAAGTAAATGGACTGTATATTCATACAGTGGCACTATAAGGCAAGATGATCTATAAATACATAACGCAATATGGCTGAATCTCACAAACATAAAGATGAACAAAGGAAATTGAACATAAAGAGTGTGCACTGTATGCTTCTGTTCATCAGTTGCAGAACAGGCAAAATTAACCTATTTTGTTAGAAATCAGTGAATATCTTTGAAATGGGAACTAAGATTAAAAGAGGGTACAATGGGGGCTACTATTTATTAATCTGGGTGGTATTTTAATAAACCAGTTGCTTCTGGGTTGATTCTGACTCACAGAGACCCCATGTGTGTCACAGTAGAACTTTGCTAATATTTACTTTTGGTCTTTTAAACTATTCTCATCATTTGAATTCTAAGCACAACTCTATCATGAACATTAAGACATCTTTGCTTTAAACTGTTCTTTAAAAGTCTCAAATTAATTCACAATTAAAAGCAGAGATACTTACTGAAATATTCCTAAATTCAGTCTAACTCAAGGAGCTCTGGTGGCACAGTGCCTAAGGTATTTGACTACGAACCAGAAGGCTGGTGGTCCATACCCACCAACCACTCCATGGAAGGAAGATAGGGCAACCTACTTCTGTAAAGATTTACTGCCTTGGAAAAGCAATAGGGGTCGGGTGCTATGAGTCGGAATCCACTTGATGGCAGTGGGTTATATAATAACCCATTTGAACAAAAGAAGGTGATCCTAAAATATTCATACCAAAAAAATATGCTATAACCAAAACTAATTAGCATGCATCCACATGGAATTATCTACCTTTGTGGCTCTTTGAAAGAGCTCTGGGGGTGTAGTGCCTAAAGCATTTGACTGCTAACCAGAAGGATAGCAGTTCAAACCCACCAGCCACTCCTTGGAAGGAAGACTGGGCAAACTACTTCCTTAGAGATACCACCTTGGAAACCCAAAGAGGAATTGCTATGAGTTGGAACTGACTCGATGGCAATGAGTTTGGAGTTTGGTTTATAGTCTAATTCAAGTTTTACTTCCTTTTTATTATAGCTAAATACTAAGCTTTTCCTGTGTTAAATGTATGTTGCATTTATGCAACAAAACAAAATGAAAAGTCAGGGAAATTATCTGGATAATTAAGGTTTAAAAGACACTAACTTTTAGTATTATTATTATTGTGCTTTGGGTGCAAATTTACAGAGCAGAATTTGTTTTACATTCAACAGTTCGTGTGCATCTGGTTTCACTCCCTGATTACCATCCCCAGACCTAACCCACTCTCCTTCTGTCTCTTCCCTTGACTTCCACCAACTCTGTGTCCTTCTTAGTTATGCACTCCGGTCTGTCCAACTTTCCCTCCATGTGAATGCTGCCCCTCTGGTCCTCCATGGCCAATTTCTGCAAGTAGTGTATCGCCGTAGAGTATGTGGGTGCATCACCCTGGGTTGGTGTTCTGCATGTAAGTCATTCCACTGTTGGGTTGACAAGGCAGTCCTTGGGAGTGAGTCCTATCTCAGGCCTGAAGTGTATCCCAGGGCTGTAGTCTTGGGAGTTCCACCAGACTCCATCTGACTAGTAATTCTGGTCATTATTGAAGACACTAACTTAAAAACCTAAATTTGCTTAAGGTTGATGCCAGTGTTTGCTTAACTTAGTGATATAAAAAAATAATACAAATAGATAGTGATGGCCAGTAGAGCAAAATATAAATGTTGCCAATGAATAAGGAAAACCAAAGAAGAGTTGATGGTTCTGAGCTGTGGTGTTGGCAAAGAATACTAAAAGAACCATGGGCTTCCAAAAGAACTAACAAATCCATCCTAGAAGAAGTGCAGCCAGAATGCTCCTTGGAAGCAAGAATGGCCAGACTTCATCTGACCTACTTTGGTCATGTTGTCAGAAAGGACCATTCCCTGAGAAGGATATCATGCATGGTGAAGTGGAGGATCAGAGAAAAAGGGGAAAGCCCTCAATGAGATGGATTGACACAGTGGCTGCAATGATGGGGTCAGGTATAGCAAATATTGTGGGCTGGCATAGGACTGGGGAGTGTTTCGTTCTGTTGTACAGAGGGTCTCTATGAGTCGGAGCCAACTCGATGGCATATAACAACACAGTAACAACAACAACAATGAAGATTCTGCTGACAAGATGACATATGTATGTCTAATAACGTTTGAAAGTTATTTTAAAGATCCTCAAATAAAAAGACATAAAATCTAGCTGAACTCTGATGATAACAACATATAGGGTTCTATTACATGATTGATAGTAACCCAGAGAAAGGCAAAAAGTATACTTAGTTTTTAAATATAAAAAAAGGATACTTATTTGGCAATGGTAAGACAAACCTTAAATCTCTTTATCATTCATTATCTGCCACATGGAAGAAATACTAACCAGGAGGCACTTGTGTAGAATCATCTATACCCAGTTGTCCTGTATTTAAGCCAAGTTCTACAAAGAATTCTTTCTGAAAAATAACATATACAGAATTAACATATACCCACCTTTTCCATACATTATAAAAAAAATCCCCTTCACCTAAATGTCAGCTTAAATAAAAATTATATGTAAAATGAACATATGCTTCATTCACATATCTAAAAAAGAAAAGGATATCTTAAAAATCTAAATAGTAACGAATTGGTATAGAATTAAGGAATATTTATGATTCTTTTTACTATAGGTGTACTATGTAACATTTATTGTTTTCATGTGAAATACAAAGGAATAGAAAAGATATAAGCTTTTCAGAAAAGCTAACATAAATAATGGGAAAAGAAACTTAAAAACACACTATTTCCCAAGTGTAGAGTTTTTAGTGATAATCTTCCTTTCCCATTACTTTAGAGAAGTTTTTACTTTGATACCTTCAAATATGAGTATTGTCATTATTTTAAAAATCACCTTTTAAGTAGTATTTTGTCCTTTCAGGTAGCAAATTTACCTTATCAATAAGGTAAGGGTCCTTTTCTGAAACACACACACATGCCTGCATACACACACACACACACACTCACACACACACACAATATATGTACCCGTAACTGTGGAGTTGATTGCAACTCATAACGACCCAATAGGATGCAGTAAAACTGTCCCATTGGGTTTCCTAGGCTGTAAATCTTTACAGAAGCAGACTGTCATGTCTTTCTGCTATGGAGCGGCTGTTGTTGTTGTTGTTATGTGCCGTCAAGTCGGACCTGACTCATAGTGACCCCTCCTTGGGTTTCCGAGGTGGTATCACTACAGAAGTAGATTGCCCAACCTTCCATCCAAAGAGTGGCTGGTGAGTTTGAACCGCCAGCCTTCTGGTTAGCAGTCCAGTGCCTTAGGCACTATGCAACCAGAGCTCTAGTGGGTTCAAATCTCTGCCCTTTCAATTAGTACTCAAACACTTAACCACTGTGCTACCAGGGCTCCTCTCAAACCCAAACCAAACTCACTCCCATCCAGTCAATCCCGACTCATGGTGTCTCCTCCTTGGGTTTCCAAGGCAGTATCTCTAAGGAAGTAGACTGCCCAACCTTCCTTCTGAGGAGTGGCTGATGGGTTTGAATTATCAGTCTTCTGGTTAACAGTCAAATGCCTTAGGCACTAGGCCACCAGAGCTCCCTACAGTTGTATATAAAAATCCCTGCCATTGAGTTGATCCTGACTCACAGCAACCCCAAAGGACAGAGTATATGTGCCCCACAGGGTTTTCAAGGCTGTAAATCTTTATAGAAACAGACTTCCTCATCTGTCTTCCATGGAGCAGCTGGTGGGTTCAAAACACCAACCTTTTGGCTAGCAGCCAAATGCCTTAACCACTATACTACCACAGCTCCTTTTTACAGTATATATACCATTTATCAATTTTACCTCCTAAACTCATTGCCTGGAATGACTTCCGTAGATATATTGTCTTGGGAATCCAAGGAGGGGTCGCTATGAGTAGAATCGACTCAATGACAGTGAGTACAAACTCATTGCTTAAAATGACCAATGTAATTTTCTGTACCTGTGCTTTCTCTGGTACTATATTTCATTTAACTCTTAATAAATGAAACACTGCAAATATCCAAGGCAACTTAGTTTTTAAGTAAAACTGGACAATCAAGTACTCTTCTAAAATAAGGACAGGTTAGATTTATTTCCAGACTCATCTAGTAATAGCTAGGCAAGTGATCATGGTGGCTGGTATTTTTAAAAGCCCCACATTACTTACAATATTTTTATTCCCTAAGTAATTAAATATTTCTATTAATATTTGCCTCAGTACTTTGTTACTATTCTAATTGCTAAAACCCTATTTCCTTCTCCTTAAAAAAACTGAATTGGTTTTTAATCCTTCCCAATTACCTGTTATTATTTAGGTTAGTGATTTATTAATGTTCCTCATGAGACATTATCTAGTCTCACACATTCCTGTATTGATTTTAAACAGGCACCACTGTATTTTGACTTTTTAACTAAATTTTTTACCTTTATAAAAAGCACTGCATCCTATGCTACTAATTCTTAATGACTAATAAGCTTGACCTTCATATTACAGAAGAGACTTAGGTCCAATAAACATTTCACTATTAGATTCTGTACAAGATGGAGAATTTTACGTGTGCTAAGCAGGTTAAGGAGTTTAAGCAGAACTCTGATCATCCATTTTCTGCTTCCCTGCTCTGGACTATCAACATGAGCAGGCCTGGGCCTTCATCTTTGATGTCCTTCAAAACTAACTAAAGGCATACCTTCTGCGAAGTCTGCCTTGATAGTCTAGGCTGATATAAGCAACTCTGTATGCTCATGTCTCACCTTATATATCATATACATAATCATATCATATCAAATTATCCTTTTATTGTCCATCTTCCCACCAGACTGAAGCTCTCAGAGGATAAAGACTTGTACATGTTTACATCCCAGCACTTAGCATAGTACCTGACATACAGCAGACTGTGGTAGTTAAAGTTGTGTGTCAACTTGGATGGGCTGTGGTTTTTGAGTGGTTTGGCAGCTGGATGTAGTTATTTCCCATGATGAGACTATAATCACCTCCATAATCACCTGCTGTGAGCACCTAATCAGGTGAAGAGGAGTTGTCTTTGGGATGTGGCCTGATTCCAGTATATCCAGTGAAGCTTTGAGAAAGGTCTCCAGCACATCTGGATCCTGAATTTGACCAAGTCCTCACCTCCAGTTCCTGGACTTGAACTGGTGGCCTGCTGATCTTGGAATTGTTCCTGGACTTGAACCAGTGGCCTGCCATGTTATCTACCAATCTTGGGATTGTGCCATTTTACCTGTCAACTTTTGGTTTGTCAGCTTTAGCAGCCAGCAACTGCTTGAATTAGTAGACACCTGTTGCTCCAGTGGGCCTGGAATAAGAGGCAGAGCTGAAGCACAAGGTTGAGGGGCTTTCACAGCCCCTAGAGCCAGCACTCTAAATTTGGACTTCTAGCCCCCTACACTGTAAGAGAATAAATTCTTGTTTGTTAAGCCATCCATTTGCGGTATTTCTGTTACAGCAGCACTAGAGAACCAAGACACAGACCAAACCCACTGTCACTGAGTTGGTTCCAACTTATAGTGATCCTTTGAGACAGAGAAGAACTGCCCCATAGGGCTTCCAAGGCTGTAAATCTTTATGAAAGCAGACCCACAGAGCAGCTGGGGGGTTCAAACTGCCAACCTTTTGGTTGGCAGCCGAATGTACCACTATGCCACCAGAGCTACTTGACACATGCACAGCAGAGGGGCTCAATAAACATTGAACCATACAACTGAGTTTCAGTTCCAATCTTCAGCCGTACATCACTGAATTAAAAAACAGAAATTAGTCAGCAACTTCACTTTAATGAATTTTAGTTTCAAGAAATCTCCCTTTAACTTGGACTAATATATATAACATTATGAACTAGGTTTAAAAGCCATCCATTATAGATAGGATCATAGAACTCAATGAACCACACCAAGTTCAGTACTTATACCAATAGACCAGGGTCAAAGACAGACCATGCATTCTGGAGTCAAAGTCACTGCCTGATGAGGCCACATGATACAGGAAAGGCAGGGACAACTCTCCCTAATGACTGCAGGAAGAGAAGAATGAAGCATACTGTTAGCAGGTATAGCAGAATTTTGTGAAAATTAGCTACAGGCTTTTGGCTCTCCAGTAGCTAAAAATGTGTCCACATCAGCTCA